AGATGATGTATTTCTGATGGCAGGTGGTCATGTATTGCAGAAAATTATGTATGTATGTCTGATGGTAGGTGGTCGTGTGTTGTAGTATATGATGTATGTCTGATGGTAGGTTGTCGTGTGTTGTAGTAGATGATGTTTGTCCGAAGGTAGGTTGTCGTGTGTTGTAGTAGATGATGTATATCTGATGGTAGGTGGTCATGTATTGCAGTAGATGATGTATGTCTGATAGTAGGTGGTCGTGTGTTGTAGTAGATGATGTATGTCTGATGGTAGGTTATCGTGTGTTGTAGTAGATGATGTATGTCTGAAGGTAGGTGGTCGTGTGTTGTAGTAGATGATGTATGTCTGGTGGTAGGTGGTCGTGTGTTGCAGTAGATGATGTATTTGTGATTGGTTGGTTGTCGTGTGTTGCAATAGATGATGTATGTCTGATGGTAGGTTATCGTGTGTTGTAGTAGATGATGTATGTCTGAAGGTAGGTGGTCGTGTGTTGTAGTAGATGATGTATGTCTGGTGGTAGATGGTCGTGTGTTGTAGTAGATGATGTATGTCTGGTGGCAGGTGGTGGTGTTTTGTAGTAGATGATGTATGTCTGAAGGTAGGTGGTCATGTATTGCATTAGATGGTGTATGTCTGAAGGTAGGTGGTCGTGTGTTGTAGTAGATGATGTATGTCTTTTGACAGGTTATCGTGTGTTGTAGTAGATGATGTATTTCTGAAGGTAGGTGGTCACGTATTGTAGTAGATGATGTATGTCTGAAGGTAGGTGGTCGTGTGTTGTAGTAGATGATGTATGTCTGAAGGTAGGTGGTCATCTATTGCAGTAGATGATGTATGTCTGAAGGTAGGTGGTCGTGTGTTGTAGTAGATGATGTATGTCTGAAGGTAGGTGGTCGTGTGTTGTAGTAGATGATGTATGTCTGAAGGTAGGTGGTCGTGTGTTGTAGTAGATGATGTATGTCTGGTGGAAGATGGTCGTGTGTTGCAGCAGATGATGTATGTCTGGTGGCAGGTTGTCGTGTGTTGTAGTAGATGATGTATGTCTGATGGCAGATGGTCGTGTGTTGTAGTAGATGATGTATGTCTGAAGGTAGGTGGTCGTGTGTTGTAGTAGATGATGTATGTCTGAAGGTAGGTGGCCGTGTGTTGCAGTAGATGATGTATGTCTGGTGGCAGTTGGTCGTGTGTTGTAGTAGATGATGTATGTCTGAAGGTAGGTGGTCATGTATTGCAGTAGATGGTGTATGTCTGAAGGTAGATGGTCGTGTGTTGTAGTAGATGATGTATGTCTGAAGGTAGGTGGTCATCTATTGCAGTAGATGATGTATGTCTGAAGGTAGGTGGTCGTGTGTTGTAGTAGATGATGTATGTCTGATGGCAGGTGGTCGTGTGTTGTAGTAGATGATGTATGTCTGATGGTAGGTGGTCGTGTGTTGTAGTAGATGATGTATGTCTGAAGGTAGGTGGTCGTGTGTTGTAGTAGATGATGTATGTCTGAAGGAAGGTGGTCGTGTGTTGCAGTAGATGATGTATGTCTGGTGGTAGGTGGTCGTGTGTTGTAGTAGATGATGTATGTCTGAAGGTAGGTGGTCATGTATTGCAGTAGATGGTGTATGTCTGAAGGTAGGTGGTCGTGTGTTGTAGTAGATGATGTATGTCTGATGGTAGGTTGTCATGTGTTGCAGTAGATGATGTATGTCTGGTGGTAGGTTGTCGTTTGTTGCATTAGATGATGTATGTCAGATGGAAGATGGTTGTGTATTGCAGTAGATGATGTATGTCTGATGGTAGGTTGTCGTGTGTTGTAGTAGATGATAAATGTCTGATTGTAGGTGGTCGTGTGTTGCAGTAGATGATGTATGTCTGGTGGTAGGTTGTCGTGTGTTGCAGTAAATGATGTATGTCTGATGGAAGGTTGTCGTGTGTTGTAGTAGATGATGTATGTCAGATGGAAGATGGTTGTGTATTGCTGTAGATGATGTATGTCTGATGGTAGGTTGTCGTGTGTTGTAGTAGATGATGTATGTCTGATTGTAGGTGGTCGTGTATTGCAGTAGATGATGTATGTCAGATGGAAGATGGTTGTGTATTGCTGTAGATGATGTATGTCTGATGGTAGGTTGTCGTGTGTTGCAGTAGATGATGTATGTGTGATGGTAGGTTGTCGTGTGTTGCAGTAGATGATGTATGTCTGATGGTAGGTTGTCGTGTATTGCAGTAGATGATGTATGTGTGATGGTAGGTTGTCGTGTATTGCAATAGATGATGTATGTCTGATGGTAGGATGTCGTGTGTTGCAGTAGATGTTGCATGTCTGATGGTAGGTTGTCGTGTGTTGCAGTAGATGTTGTATGTCTGATAGTAGGTTGTCGTGTATTGCAGTAGATGATGTATGTCTGATGGTAGGTTGTCGTGTATTGCAGTAGATGATGTATGTCTGGTGGTAGGTTGTCGTGTGTTGCAGTAGATGATGTATGTCAGATGACAGGTTGTCGTGTGATGCAGTAGATGATGTATGTCAGATGGAAGATGGTTGTGTGTTGCAGTAGATGATGTATGTCTGATGGTAGGTTGTCGTGTGTTGCAGTAGATGATGTATGTCTGATGACAGGTTGTCGTGTGATGCAGTAGATGATGTATGTCTGATGACAGGTTGTCGTGTGATGCAGTAGATGATGTATGTCTGATGGAAGATGGTTGTGTGATGCAGTAGATGATGTATGTCTGATGACAGGTTGTCGTGTGTTGCAGTAGATGATGTATGTCTGGTGGTAGGTTGTCTTGTATTGCAGTAGATGATGTATGTCTGATGGAAGATGGTTGTGTGATGCAGTAGATGATGTATGTCTGATGACAGGTTGTCGTGTGTTGTAGTAGATGATGTATGTCTGATGGTAGGTTGTCTTGTATTGCAGTAGATGATGTATGTCTGATGGAAGATGGTTGTGTGATGCAGTAGATGATGTATGTCTGATGACAGGTTGTCGTGTGTTGCAGTAGATGATGTATGTCTGGTGGTAGGTTGTCTTGTATTGCAGTAGATGATGTATGTCTGATGGAAGATGGTTGTGTGATGCAGTAGATGATGTATGTCTGATGACAGGTTGTCGTGTGTTGCAGTAGATGATGTATGTCTGGTGGTAGGTTGTCTTGTATTGCAGTAGATGATGTATGTCTGGTGGTAGGTTGTCGTGTGATGCAGTAGATGATATATGTCAGATGCAAGATGGTTGTGTGTTGCAGTAGATGATGTATGTCTGGTGGTAGGTTGTCGTGTGTTGTAGTAAATGATGAATGTCTGATAGTAGGTTGTCGCGTGCTGCAGTAGATGATGTATGTCTGGTGGTAGGTTGTCGTGTATTGTAGTAGACGATAAATGTCTGATAGTAGGTTGTCGTGTGTTGCAGTAGATGATGTATGTCAGATGGAAGATGGTTGTGTATTGCAGTAGATGATGTATGTCTGGTGGTAGGTTGTCGTGTATTGTAGTAGACGATAAATGTCTGATTGTAGGTGGTCGTGTGTTGCAGTAGATGATGTATGTCAGATGGAAGATGGTTGTGTATTGCAGTAGATGATGTATGTCTGTTGGTAGGTTGTCGTGTGTTGCAGTAGATGATGTATGTTTGATTGTAGGTTGTCGTGTGTTGCAGTAGATGATGTATTGCAGTAGATGATGTATGTCTGGTGGTAGGTTGTCGTGTGTTGTAGTAGACGATGAATGTCTGATAGTAGGTTGTCGTGTGTTGCAGTAGATGATGTATGTCAGATGGAAGATGATTGTGTGTTGCAGAAGGGGGTACATGTCCACTGGTAGATGGTAGATGACCTTCACTGTGGTCAGCACTGTCACGGACATATCGTAATGCATGCACAAGGCAGGTCGGTTATCTAATCCTACCAATCATTGCTGGAAGAACACTTAATCTTTCATTAAAAAACATACATTGGTTGACAGAGCTCATTCATATTCCGTCGGGTAGCCTGGTGGTTAAAGCGTTCGCTCGTCACGCCGAAGACCCGGGTTCGGTTCCCGTCATGGGTACAATGTGTGAAGCCTATTTCTGGTGTTCCCCGCCGTGATATTGCTAGAATATTGCTAAAAGCGGCATAAAAATCAAACTCACTCATTCGTATTCCATGACACATTCTCTATATTGGAAAACATACATTCCTGGGGAATGCCTAAGCATAACTTCTCTTGTTAAAATAATGTTGTTTTACACACACAAAATAAAACATTATTCAAATCATTTATGTTCACGTTTCATTATTCTACAAAGCAAGATGAACATGTTACAGACACTCAAACTGTCATGGCACATTTGTTTATATAAAGTATACAAGAAATAGTTCCGACATAAGTAGAACGTGGTATTTGTGTTTTTAATTGTTAGGTCGCCTGTCTTAAAAATTGTCAGTTATGTTTCTTTAATTCAGCGAGAACCATAAGCAACATGAAATAGAGGGAAGACAAGGCGTGCTCACCATAACGAAAGTTATTTTGTTGAATACAATGCATGGAAACGTCACAACTGTGTATTTAGGGGCATTGTTCAAACAGTTGGCAGGGTTCTACAGTGTCCGCACTGGCGCTGAGTTAAAGAGTGCGTGAGTATAGTTATAGTACGCAAGACAGCTTGATGAAACCGGAAGTGGTGCAGATTCTAGACGTTTTCCACTTTGGGGAAACCGACAGCACGGGTATGGTGATATCGGGGATTGAAACCAAAGATCATTGATACAAACTCCGCACAGGGAATATCAGCACTTTCGGCAAAGGGTGATAAAGCACAACCCTAACTGTTCGTAGTGTGAAGAATCATTTTAAAATACATGTTATATATGCATAAATATCGTCAAGATAATAACCTGTCTCCCGGTTTCAACGACACAGCCTCCATTGGGCGCAAAAAGCAAAAGAGCGGTGAAATAATATGCACGTACCACAGACAACGAGTGATGTTTGCGGTGTTCGCGAAAAGGGTAGGCATGTCTTGCCCTACCGGTAGAACCCGCCACTCAAACAATTTTGAAAAAAATTATGTGTGTTGCCTTACACCGCACGGCAGTACTCCTGCCAAGTAACATACAAATATCAATCTGCACGTGAACGTTCTGTGTTATAACGGCGCACATGGTTGACACACAACAATCCCTGTTGCCGCTTGTATTCCTGCAATACATAATCGATGATTTGTACATGCCGATAAACATTATAACGAAGATCTTACAAACACATATTTACATGTGACCATAATAACACCTTTATATGTTAACAACAATGGAGATAGCGTTAAGACCGGCTTAACAGGAAGTATGTACAACGTGACGTTTCACACATCGTATCACGTCCAGAAATGTTCGGTTAACATCACCGACTTTATTCTAATATGCGAATATGTTCTTGGATGTGGCGTTCACCACGTCAAAAGTTTTCCACAATAAATAATCTTTCCATTGCACGACAATTATAACATCTCCCGAAACTGGTTGTGACGTAGGAATGCCATCCATGGAGAATGACCATATGTCCATATGTCTGTGTGTTCATGTGTCCATGCGTCCGGATTTAGCATGCGGCCCTCAGAGTACGACGACTCCGAGGTGGGGTATAGCACTTTTTGATGTACTCATTTTGTACAAATGTTCCAGGTTCATCACAATCATGCAAAAAGAACCTGAATCGGCAAAGGGGGCGTTCCAGGAAGTCACACACAGCGTAACATTTGTTTATGATTTGTCTAGTTCACGCACAGCGTAACATTTCATAACGACTCGTCAAGGTCACGCAGGTGAAGTACGATATTTGTGGATGGACGTTGTCTTCAAGGCCTGGCTCTCCCTATGTTCAAACACTCGCAGTGGGAGGGTATCTTGATGGGGACGAAGCTGACGGGGGCGCTGGTGAGGGGCTTCGTGTTGTTGTAGACGAGGATCCAGTGGGCGCGGAGCATCTGCACACACTCCCCCTGCTGACACGCCGTGCCAAGCCTACAATGCAGAAAGGTGAAGGTCACGCCAAAGTAGTAATGAAATAGGTTTGAGTGTTCCATCTCGTATAGATTCCCGCTTAAAATGCTGCCTGATTCATTCTTTTCAAAACTACTCAGGCATAGATACACACTTCAAACCCAGGATGAGTGAGTGAGTTTATATTTTTAGCAACATTCCCGATATATCACACCGGGAGACTCCAGAATGGGATTCATTGTACCCATGTGGGTACTCGATCCCGGCCCTTTGTGGTTACGAAAAGTAATCACATGCCCTATTACCCAAGTTAAACCACGAAATATGACTTCCATCTTGAAGGTATAATTATGCTGCCAAACCGTATATCTAGGGCATTGTTGGTAACACAGAAGTATATTTGAGGGCGTTGACACGGTTGGCAGCGGTACAGAAGAAAACCTGTTTCATAACGCTTTGCCTGCTGTTTAATATTCACGGGATGTGTCTATGTCTGCTAGTTCATATTCACGGGATGTGTCTATGTCTGCTGGTTCATATTTCCGGGATGTGTCTATGTCTGCTGGTTCATATTCACGGGATGTGTCTATGTCTGCTGGTTCATATTTACGGGATGTGTCTAAGTCTGCTGGTTCATATTCACGGGATGTGTCTATGTCTGCTAGTTCATATTCCAGGGATGTGTCTATGTCTGCTAGTTCATATTCACGCGATGTGTCCATGGCTGCTAGTTCATATTCCCGGGATGTGTCTATGTCTGCTGGTTCATAATCACGGGATGTGTCTTTGTCTGCTGGTTCATATTTACGGGATGTGTCTATGTCTGCTAGTTTATATTCCCGAGATGTGTCTATGTCTGCTAGTTCATATTCACGCGATGTGTCCATGTATGCTAGTTCAAATTCCCGGGATGTGTCTATGTCTGCTAGTTCATATTTACCGGATGTGTCTATGTCTGCTAGTTCATATTCACGCGATGTGTCCATGTATACTAGTTCATATTCACAGGATGTGTCTATGTCTGCTAGTTCATATTCACGGGATGTGTCTATGTCTGCTGGTTCATATTCACGGGATGTGTCTATGTCTGCTGGTTCATATTCACGGGATGTGTCTATGTCTGTTGGTTCATATTTACGGGATGTGTCTATGTCTGCTAGTTCATATTCTCGGGATGTGTCTATGTCTGCTGGTTCATATTCCCAGGATGTGTCTATGTCTGCTAGTTCATATTTACGGGATGTGTCTATGTCTGCTGGTTCATATTCCCAGGATGTGTCTTTGTCTGCTGGTTCATATTTACGGGATGTGTCTATGTCTTCTAGTTCATATTCACGGGATGTGTCTATGTCTGCTAGTTCATATTTCAGGGATGTGTTTATGTCTGCTAGTTCATATTCACGGGATGTGTCTATGTCTGCTGGTTCATATTCAAGGGATGTGTCTATGTCTGCTGGTTCATATTTACGGGATGTGTCTATGTCTGCTAGTTCATATTCAAGGGATGTGTCTATGTCTGCTAGTTCATATTCACGGGATGTGTCTTTGTCTGCTGGTTCATATTCACGGGATGTGTCTATGTCTGCTAGTTCATATTCACGGGATGTGTCTTTGTCTGCTAGTTCATATTCACGGGATGTGTCTATGTCTGCTAGTTCATATTCACGGGATGTGTCTATGTCTGCTAGTTCATATTGACGGGATGTGTCTATGTCTGCTGGTTCATATTCCCGGGATGTGTCTATGTCTGCTAGTTCATATTCACGGGATGTGTCTTTGTCTGCTGGTTCATATTCGCGCGATGTGTCTATGTCTGCTAGTTCATCTTCGCGCGATGTGTCTATGTCTGCTTGTTCATATTCACGGGATGTGTCTATGTCTGCTAGTTCATATTCGCGCGATATGTCTATGTATGCTAGTTCATATTCGCGCGATGTGTCTATGTCTGCTAGTTCATATTCACGGGATGTGTCTATGTATGCTAGTTCATATTTAAAGGATGTGTCTATGTCTGCTGGTTCATATTTATGGGATGTGTCTTTGTCTGCTGGTTCATATTCACGGGATGTGTCTATGTCTGCTGGTTCATATTCAAGTGATGTGTCTATGTCTGCTAGTTCATATTCATGGGATGTGTCTATGTCTGCTAGTTCATATTCATGGGATGTGTCTATGTCTGCTGGTTCATATTCATGGGATGTGTCTATGTCTGCTAGTTCATATTCACGGGATGTGTCTATGTCTGCTAGTTCATATTCCCAGGATGTGTCTTTGTCTGCTGGTTCATATTTACGGGATGTGTCTATGTCTGCTAGTTCATATTCACGGGATGTGTCTATGTCTGCTGGTTCATATTTAAAGGATGTGTCTATGTCTGCTGGTTCATATTTATGGGATGTGTCTTTGTCTGCTGGTTCATATTCACGGGATGTGTCTATGTATGCTAGTTCATATTCACGGGATGTGTCTATGTCTGCTGGTTCATATTCACGGGATGTGTCTATGTCTGCTAGTTCATATTCACGGGATGTGTCTATGTCTGCTAGTTCATATTCACGGGATGTGTCTATGTCTGCTAGTTCATATTCGCGCGATGTGTCTATGTCTGCTAGTTCATATTTACGGGATGTGTCTATGTCTGCTGGTTCATATTCCCGGGATGTGTCTATGTCTGCTAGTTCATATTCACGGGATGTGTCTTTGTCTGCTGGTTCATATACACGGGATGTGTCTATGTCTGCTAGTTCATATTCAAGGGATGTGTCTATGTCTGCTAGTTCATATTCGCGCGATGTGTCTATGTCTGCTAGTTCATATTCACGGGATGTGTCTCTGTCTGCTAGTTAATATTTAAAGGATGTGTCTATGTCTGCTGGTTCATATTTACGGGATGTATCTATGTCTGCTAGTTCATATTCCCGGGATGTGTCTATGTCTGCTATTTCATATTCACGGGATGTGTCTATGTCTGCTAGTTCATATTCGCGCGATGTGTCTATGTATGCTAGTTCATATTCGCGCGATGTGTCTATGTCTGCTGGTTCATATTCACGGGATGTGTCTATGTATGCTTGTTCATATTCACCGGATGTGTATATGTCTGCTGGTTCATATTTATGGGATGTGTCTTTGTCTGCTGGTTCATATTCACGGGATGTGTCTATGTCTGCTGGTTCATATTTACGGGATGTGTCTATGTCTGCTAGTTCATATTCATGGGATGTGTCTATGTCTGCTAGTTCATATTCATGGGATGTGTCTATGTCTGCTAGTTCATATTCATGGGATGTGTCTATGTCTGCTGGTTCATATTCATGGGATGTGTCTATGTCTGCTAGTTCATATTCACGGGATGTGTCTATGTCTGCTGGTTCATATTCACGGGATGTGTCTTTGTCTGCTAGTTCATATTGACGGGATGTGTCTTTGTCTGCTGGTTCATATTCACGGGATGTGTCTATGTCTGCTAGTTCATATTCACGGGATGTGTCTTTGTCTGCTAGTTCATATTCACGGGATGTGTCTATGTCTGCTAGTTCATATTCACGGGATGTGTCTATGTCTGCTAGTTCATATTTACGGGATGTGTCTATGTCTGCTGGTTCATATTCCCGGGATGTGTCTATGTCTGCTAGTTCATATTCACGGGATGTGTCTTTGTCTGCTGGTTCATATTCACGGGATGTGTCTATGTCTGCTAGTTCATATTCGCGCGATGTGTCTATGTCTGCTTGTTCATATTCACGGGATGTGTCTATGTCTGCTAGTTCATATTCGCGCGATGTGTCTATGTATGCTAGTTCATATTCGCGCGATGTGTCTATGTCTGCTAGTTCATATTCACGGGATGTGTCTATGTATGCTATTTCATATTTAAAGGATGTGTCTATGTCTGCTGGTTCATATTTATGGGATGTGTCTTTGTCTGCTGGTTCATATTCACGGGATGTGTCTATGTCTGCTGGTTCATATTCAAGTGATGTGTCTATGTCTGCTAGTTCATATTCATGGGATGTGTCTATGTCTGCTAGTTCATATTCATGGGATGTGTCTATGTCTGCTAGTTCATATTCATGGGATGTGTCTATGTCTGCTGGTTCATATTCATGGGATGTGTCTATGTCTGCTGGTTCATATTCACGGGATGTGTCTATGTCTGCTGGTTCATATTCCCAGGATGTGTCTTTGTCTGCTGGTTCATATTTACGGGATGTGTCTATGTCTGCTAGTTCATATTCACGGGATGTGTCTATGTCTGCTGGTTCATATTTAAAGGATGTGTCTATGTCTGCTGGTTCATATTTATGGGATGTGTCTTTGTCTGCTGGTTCATATTCACGGGATGTGTCTATGTATGCTAGTTCATATTCACGGGATGTGTCTATGTCTGCTGGTCCATATTCACGGGATGTGTCTATGTCTGCTAGTTCATATTCACGGGATGTGTCTATGTCTGCTAGTTCATATTCGCGCGATGTGTCTATGTCTGCTAGTTCATATTCACGCGATGTGTCTATGTATGCTAGTTCATATTTAAAGGATGTGTCTATGTCTGCTGGTTCATATTTACGGGATGTGTCTATGTCTGCTGGTTCATATTCCCGGGATGTGTCTATGTCTGCTAGTTCATATTCACGGGATGTGTCTATGTCTGCTAGTTCATATTCACGGGATGTGTCTATGTCTGCTAGTTCATATTCGCGCGATGTGTCTATGTCTGCTAGTTCATATTTACGGGATGTGTCTATGTCTGCTGGTTCATATTCATGGGATGTGTCTATGTCTGCTAGTTCATATTCATGGGATGTGTCTTTGTCTGCTGGTTCATATACACGGGATGTGTCTATGTCTGCTAGTTCATATTCACGGGATGTGTCTATGTCTGCTAGTTCATATTCGCGCGATGTGTCTATGTCTGCTAGTTCATATTCACGGGATGTGTCTATGTATGCTAGTTAATATTTAAAGGATGTGTCTATGTCTGCTGGTTCATATTTACGGGATGTATCTATGTCTGCTAGTTCATATTCCCGGGATGTGTCTATGTCTGCTAGTTCATATTCACGGGATGTGTCTATGTCTGCTAGTTCATATTCACGGGATGTGTCTATGTATGCTAGTTCATATTCGCGCGATGTGTCTATGTCTGCTAGTTCATATTCACGGGATGTGTCTATGTATGCTTGTTCATATTCACGGGATGTGTATATGTCTGCTGGTTCATATTTATGGGATGTGTCTTTGTCTGCTGGTTCATATTCACGGGATGTGTCTATGTCTGCTGGTTCATATTTACGGGATGTGTCTATGTCTGCTAGTTCATATTCATGGGATGTGTCTATGTCTGCTAGTTCATATTCATGGGATGTGTCTATGTCTGCTAGTTCATATTCATGGGATGTGTCTATGTCTGCTGGTTCATATTCATGGGATGTGTCTATGTCTGCTAGTTCATATTCACGGGATGTGTCTATGTCTGCTGGTTCATATTCCTGGGATGTGTCTATGTCTGTTGTTTCATATTCACGGGATGTGTCTTTGTCTGCTAGTTCATCTTTACGGGATGTGTCTATGTCTTCCAGTTCATATTCACGGGTTGTGTCTATGTGTGCTGTTTCATATTCAAGGGTTGTGTCTATGTCTGCTAGTTGATATTCAGGGTTTGTCTCTATGTCTGCTAGTTCATATTCCATTCATATCATCGGTACAATGACTGTTTATCCATTGTACAACGTTTAATCATGTCAAGCTGTTAACTGTGTCTGTGACAGGTCTAAACTTGTTCATGCATTTATTTATGAACCCCAAAAGTAAACGTATGTACATGTCTACAACGCAGTATTATTATTCCTTCAAGTGTTTAATTATGGAACATGAGCTGTCGCCACTGGCCACACAGACAATTAGCTTCCAGTATAACAGATGAGACATGGATGAACACACACGGGGTCCACGTCGACCGGCAGTGCACTTGTAAACTTTGCACTGGATTATCAAATTCACAACAATTTGAGGATGTTTTGCCAATTCCTGAACTAATTTTGCACTACAAATTGCCTTAAGTACGAGATGTATCTTGATTCATATATGTTATAGATATTGTGTATATCAAACGTTATTATTCCGTTAGAGGACCATGGGTGCCAAGGGATGGTGGTATGATTTCGTGTAAGTGGTTTGTAAGTGTAATAGATGAAATCGCTACTCTTTCCGGTATGGTGATTGCTAATGGAGAGATAACATGTCTTGAAATGTACCGTAATTCCTTTATTGTCTGAAGGCATGGCTTTGACAGAAGAGCGCACACACATGGAATAAGGGCTGGGCTACTTATAAGAGGCGGAGGTCTCTGGTGTGTGCCGGGTCTAAAGGTAGATGTAAGCTAGCCAGTCAAGTGCGGTAACATATCAAAATTACAATGAACACTGTGAAAGAAGGTTTGATTCTGGGGATGTTGTGCTCCTACACCATGCTTCCTTGAGGTAGGTCAACATAAGAAATAGGATCAAATGGATCCAGGTGCGGTTGTTTTCGTTAATGGCTAATCCTCTTATCAAATGTCGACTGGTTGACTCTCTGAGTGTAAAGTGTAAAGTGCCAATCAGACAAGTTGGAGAGCTTTGAGCCGAAAGGGGCAAAATGCACTTTGACCCTTTTTGCACATAGTTGCATAAATAACAAATATGTGTTCTTGTCTACATGTAGAAAAAATATTGTATGTTTTCATTGAAAGGTTTCTGTAATATAGCTACTTAATATTCTGCAAAAGGGCCAAAGTCAAGTTCCAAAGGGGCCAAAGTTACTTTGCTATATTTAGGCCCTTTTAGCTCTCATTTCCGTGTGTGGTTGAGACTGGTTGTTCAAGAGATTTTGAAAGTTAGAACTTAGTTTGTTTCAACTATTTCAACAAAGTTGGCATTTGTTTAAATCATTTAAAATACCTTTAATAGTATGCATTTGTACTTTCAGGAGTAGTTTCTCAATCTCACATGTTAAATCCCTTGCAAATGCTTGACACTGGCCCTTTCCGCCCTTACACAAACTATAAATGTAAGTTTATTTCCTTTTTTGAATGTTTTTATAACAACATTTATATGTCGGCTGTCGGAATGTGTTAAGTTTAGGAATTTATCGGTAAATAAACACTGTTCATTAGCATGCATATCGTTATGGTTTTCATCACTTTTCTCAAAATTGACTCCAACTAACATTGTCGAATGTCTCGAAGCTCTTCGGTTAGGTCATCATATAAACATGTACGTGACCCTCGAACTGCTTCATGTAGAGATATGGGAGAAGACAGCCACTGCACCAGTGTGTCAGTGTGACACTCAATGTTTATCTACTGGTTGCCAGAGACTCTAAGCCATCTTAGAAATAACCCGGTACTTATTGTTTAAATCTTTCGTGTTTCTTTGAAATGTCTTTGTCCCTTGCATTTCCCTATTTTGATTTGTACTATATGTCCCCGTGGTTTCTAGGCTGAACAATTGACTTGCATTTGGATGTGTTTGTGACGAGTGCACCTGGTGGGAAAGAATACACTCACCTTTTCGCCAATACCCGGTATCATCACTATTTGATAGTGATTTAGAAACACATGCCGTGATATAGTCGGAATCCTACAATCAACTCTGCTTTTTCTAATGATTTATGAAATATTTTTATCGGTTTTATTGAAAATGTTTTGCAGTACACAAAAATAAATTCAATGTCTTTATTTATGTCTTTTCGTTCCAAAGTACTCTCAAGTTTATGCTCTTCAAAAAAAGAAACCCAATACGGATATTTTGTACCAGAAACGCAAAATTAGCGGACCAAGAGGTTCAAAATGAAGAGGTTTAATGTATTTATAGTGTCAGTGACAAATTTCCCGGATCAAAATGATCACAACAAGGACATGCAAACCATTAGTCGGGTACGATTCGGAAAGAAGAACCCAGTGCATAAACAAAAAGACCATGGAGCTGCACGTGCTGAACGTGCAGCGGCACTATGGACGGTATTCAAGTGCAAGGTTTTTGATAACCTGGCATCTGCGTCAATCGAACACTGACAGTTCAACAAGATGCCAAGATTAACAAACGTGCAAAGAAACAACGTCATAGGCCGCTTGCAGGCAGGGGAATCCCGAGCAGCTGTAGATAGGGTTTTCTATGTAGCGCCCAGTACCATCACAAGACTATGGGATCGGTTTCAACAGCATGGGTTAACACGTGATCGGCCAAGGTCGGGACGACCAAGAGTAACCACCCCCGCCCAAGATTGCTACATCCGACTACGCCACCTACGTGAAAGGACGGCCACAGCCACCTGAACCGCATCCCAAATACCGGACTGCGCAGAATCTCCGACCAGACCTTACGAAACCGTTTAAGAACAGCAGGTCTACGAGCAAGACGTCCTGTTCGGCGCGTCATATTGAGTCGACAACATCGTCAACAACGACTGCATTGGCGTCGTCAACACAGGGTATGGCCTCAACTGCGATGGAGAGATGACTGGTTCAGCGACGAATCAAGATTTCTCCTCTGTCGAGGGGATGGAAGAGCACGGGTCTACAGACGTCGGGGAGAACGTTACGCCGGTAACTGCGTACAGGAAGGGGACAGGTTTGGTGGGGGTAACGTTATGATGTGGGCGGATATCTTTCATCATGGCAGGATAGGTTTGGTCCATATCCAGGGCAATCTTACGGCTCAACGATACATCAACGAAATTCTCCTACCAGACGTCCTCCCAATTTCAGCCAACGGCAACGATGTATTCCAGCAATACAACGCCCGACCGCTCACAGCACGGATCACAAGAGCCTGTCTGCACATGAACAACGTTGATGTTCTCCCCTGGCCCTCCAGATCCCCGGATTTGAACCCGACAGATGGGATGAATTGGATAGACGGCTACGCCGACGTCAACCACAACCCCAGACATTGTAGCAGTTGGCTTTTGCGTTGCAGGCCGAGTGGGCTACCATTCCCCAGGATGTGATACGCATACACGTCTCTCCCATCGGCAGGAGATGTCAGGCCGCTCGCGATTCCAACGGGGGACATACGCGTTATTGATGGTAGCTGACCTTCACCTTGGACTTTTCCTATGTACCGATAACTGAGATGACTCTCCACAACATTTTGGCTCAATACCTTGTACTGTTCTACGTATTAAATGTATTTTCCTACCTCACACAAATCTGGCTTTGCGTTTCTTTTTTTCAAGAGTATATATTTAGAACAAGTTATTATCTTGCAGGCCACTAAACGCCCCACAGGTGACAAAATAATAATAAAGAAAATGTTCACACCAAATAGACTATAACGTGACTCACCGGCATCTTCCAACGGGGATAAACTGGTACTCTTGCTTCAGATGTACCACCGTGTACTTCCGCCCCCCGAACTCCGTGTTGTTGGGGGCCCAGTGGCCAAACTCACTGAAAACACCATCAGTATTTACCATCAGTATTTACCATCAGTATTTACCATCAGTATTTACCATCAGTATTTACCATCAGTACACCTGGGAGACTAAAATGTGGGTTTTCTCCCGAACTCTTATAAATATATTCACATTGATTGCATTTCTTTATCTGTATCATCATCAAGTGACGCTGATATTCTAAGGGACGCAACTCTGAACAATGAGATATCGGAATAGCATTGACAGCACACCCTTGACGGCAGTATTAGCACGTCAAGCCCCTCGGGGTAGAAATACGCCATCTCTTACACAATAATGAATGTACTTATAAATATCAAATATCAACATACAAAATTGACAGCGTTCAGGCATTTAACGTCTGAGATCAGTCCTTACTGTCTCCTTCATGTAGTAACGATGACGCTCGAGGGTCAGTTGGAAAATATAGGGTACAGATGAATCAAGTCGAGCCATGCGTATTATGTAGGATAAAGTATTTGATAGGCATTTAGAAGTTGGGAGAACGTGATTACATTTTTATGGAGAGCAACTTCTTTTTATTCTTTGTACGACATTATTCACCCGATAAAGGAGCAAGAAGTAGCTCTGGAACGTCGTACAAAGAATAAATAGAAGTTGCTATCCATAAAAAAGTGTCATATATTTATGGAAGATATATCTTGTGGAAATCAATGGGCGATATGTGGGGTACAGATTAATCAAATGGAGATCAATACGAAATGTGTAGTAAGATTTTTAATTCATCAATGAACCCACCAGCACTATTAAATGTTTCATATAAATATTTGTAGAAAATGGTTCAAATATCTTACGCCAAATAGCCTCAATGTTTATTAAACGCACATGACACGAAGATAGTAAACATGCATCAAACAGAAGCCGTGATGTGAGATTAATCACAATTCAGTCACCAAATGCAGACACATTAACGAACATGGTATGTAAAGGCAGAGATATCAGAATCTATGTTATTTTACCAACTTCACGAATACACACAACCTTATACATAACTAAGCATTCATATTCACAGCAGAGAAACCCCTTTTAGCAAATTAAAATGATTATTATAATCTACATTATATTCTATGGTAGGCGATCAGTCATGTCGATGTTATAAAGCGTGCCTAAACCATCAACATATACTGAGTGTACATACATGACGTCATCAACATATACTGAATGTACTCACATGACATCATCAACATACACTGAGAGTTCCCACATGACGTCATCACCATAATTAAGTGTACACACATGACGTCATCAACATGTACTGAGTAAACCAGCATGACGTCATCAATAGGTACTGAGTGTTAATCACATGACGTCATCAACATAAACCGAGTGTACACACATGACGTCATCAACATACACTGAATTTACTCACATGACGTCATCAAAATACACTGAGAGTTCCCACATGACGTCATCAACATATACTGACTGTACCCACATGACGTCATCAACATATACTTAGTGTACACACATGAAGTCATCGATATATACGGAATATGCATACACACATTGTACACACTGACATACTTACGTTTCACAGCAACCGTACTGATCTGAAGTTGGGTTTCCGGTGTTTACTGGTTTTTCTGGCACGACAGTGTTACTTGGATTTCCTGATTTTCCTGGGTTACCGGTATTATTTTGAGATCCTGGGTTATCTGGATTGACAGGGTTTTTTGTCTTGTCCGGATTTACAGGATTTGCTGGGGTAGAATCATAGAAGGCTGCTGGGGGCTCCCGGCTGAACAGCCCCGAGTAATATTCAGATATCCACTTTTCTAAGGGCGTTGTTCTTCTTATGCATCGTCTGCATTCAGCACTACACGTCCACCATTGGTAATGATTTCCTTGGATTTCCACTGGTATATTAAGAAGGATCAATGTCCAGCTGATAAGGTTAGCTGAAAAGCGCAACAATTCATTTCACAAAAAAAATAAAATAATGAGGAATACGAATCTGACGAACTGTGAATGCAAACATAAACAAATGTCATTTTCAGATCACACGATGTCCATATCCATGGTTTGGGTATTTCAGTTGACATTGTGGCTAACGGTAAGGTAGGGCATGCTTACGAACACCTGGTGTCATCACTGATTTTAAGTGTTTCATTCCTATAATTGTCATCACTAATTTGGCTTTCACGCCCAATGGAATAAGTTTCGGTGAGAAATGGAGACTGGTTACTCCCTGCTGTTGACGTTGTATATTAAACAAAGAGAAGCGGAAATTGTTGTCAGAACCAAGGCTTATGGTAGTGTTCTTCTAAGCTTGAGCCATCGTGACTCATGAATGCAGTTGGTTTTATTTAATTTTCATTGTTATACAGATATATTTTTATATGAAGCCTAATAAATCATCTGCAAGTGTATGAAATACAACGTATTAATTTCTTTAAAAAATGGAATGACGTCATAGCTGGTTTTGATAGACCTATACCCAACCTCACCCGCACCCGCACCCGCACCCGCACCCGCTCCCGCACCCGCACCCGCACCCGCACCCGCAACCGCACCCGCAACCGCACCCGCACCCGCACCCGCACACGCGCCCGCACCCGCGCCCGCACCCGCACCCGCACCCGCACCCGCACCCGCACCCGCACCCGCACACAAACCAGACAAACTAGAATATGTACAAAGTGTTTTGAAAAAAACAGAAAATGTACATACTTTCTAGACAAACCAGAATATGTACATAGTGTCTAGACAAACCCGAATATGTACATAGTGTCCAGACAAACCCGAATATGTACATAGTGTCTAGACAAACCCGAATATGTACATAGTGTCTAGACAAGCCAGAATATTTACATAGTGTCTAGACAAACCCGAATATTTACATAGTGTCTAGACAAACCAGAATATGTACATAGTGTCCAGACAAGCCAGAATATGTACATAGTGTCTAGACAAACCAGAATATGTACATAGTGTCTAGACAAACCAGAATATGTACATAGTGTCTAGACAAACTAGAATATGTACATAGTGTCTAGACAAACCAGAATATGTACATAGTGTCTAGACAAACCCGAATATGTACATAGTGTCTAGACAAACCCGAATATTTACATAGTGTCTAGACAAGCCAGAATATGTACATAGTGTCTAGACAAGCCAGAATATGTACATAGTGTCTAGACAAACCAGAATATGTACATAGCGTCTAGACAAACCAGAATATGTACATATCGTCTAGACAAACTAGAATATGTACATAGCGTCTAGACAAACCAGAATATGTACATATCGTCTAGACAAACTAGAATATGTACATAGCGTCTAGACAAACCAGAATATGTACATAGCGTCTAGACAAACTAGAATATGTACATAGCGTCTTGACAAGCCAGAATATGTATACCTTCACAGTACATAGTGTCAAGACAAACTAGAATATGTACATAGCGTCTTCACAGTACATCTACCTTCACAGTGCATCTTCCTTTATACTACATGTCTACCTTCATAGTACATGTCTACCTTCACAGTACATCTACCTTCACAGTGCATCTTCCTTTATACTACATGTCTACCTTCATAGTACATGTCTACCTTCACAGTACATCTACCTTCACAGTGCATCTTCCTTTATAGTACATGTCTACCTTCACAGTACATCTACCTTCACAGTGCATCTTCCTTTATACTACATGTCTACCTTCATAGTACATGTCTACCTTCACAGTACATCTACCTTCACAGTGCATCTTCCTTTATACTACATGTCTACCTTCATAGTACATGTCTACCTTCACAGTACATCTACCTTCACAGTGCATCTTCCTTTATAGTACATGTCTACCTTCACAGTACATCTACCTTCACAGTGCATCTTCCTTTATACTACATGTCTACCTTCATAGTACATGTCTACCTTCACAGTACATCTACCTTCACAGTGCATCTTCCTTTCTAGTACATGTCTACCTTCATAGTACATGTCTACCTTCACAGTACATCTACCTTCACAGTGCATCTTCCTTTATAGTACATGTGTACCTTCACAGTACATCTACCTTCACAGTACATCTACCTTCACAGTACATCTACCTTCACAGTGCATCTACCTTCACAGTACATCTTCCTTTATAGTACATGTCTACCTTCACAGTACATCTACCTTCACAGTACATCTACCTTCACAGTACATCTACCTTCACAGTACACGTCTACATTCATAGTAACATGGCTACATTCAAAGTGGCATGTCTACATTCATAGTCACATGTCTACATTCATAGTAGACGTCTACATTCATAGTAACATGTCTACATTCATAGTAACATCTCTCCCTTCATAGTAACATGTCTACATTCATAGTAACATGTCTACATTCATAGTAACATGTCTACATCCATAGTGACATGTCTACATTCATAGTAACATGTCTACATTCATAGTGACATGTCTACATTCATAGTAACATGTCTACATCCATAGTAACATGTCTACATTCATAGTAATATGTCTACATTCATAGTAACATGTCTACATCCATAGTGACATGTCTATATTCATAGTAACATGTCTACATTCATAGTAACATGTGTACATTCAAAGTACATGTGTACATTCAAAGTAACATGGCTACATTCATAGTAAACGTCTACATTCATAGTATCATGTCTACATTCATAGTAACGTGTCTACATTCATAGTAACATGTCTACATTCATAGTAACATGTCTGCATTCATAGTAACATGTCTGCATTCAAAGTACATGGCTACATTCATAGTAGACGTCGACATTCATAGTACATGTCTACATTCATAGTAACATGTCTACATTCATAGTAACATGTCTACATTCATAGTACACGTCTACATTCATAGTACATGTCTACATTCATAGTAGACGTCTACATTCATAGTACATGTCTACATTCATAGTAACGTGTCTACATTCATAGTAACATGTTTACATTTATAGTAACATTTCTGCATTCATAGTAACATGTCTACATTCATAGTAGACGTCGACATTCATAGTACATGTCTACATTCATAGTACCCGTCTACTTTCAGAGTAGACGTCTACCTCCATAGTACACGTCTACATTCATAGTACATGTCTACATTCATAGTACATGTCTACATTCATAGTACATGTCTACATTCATAGTACATGTCTACATTCATAGTACATGTCTACATTCATAGTACATGTCTACATTCATAGTACCCGTCTACTTTCAGAGTAGACGTCTACCTCCATAGTACACGTCTACCGCCATAGTAAACGTCTACATTCATAGTACACGTCTACATTCATAGTAGACGTCTACATTCATAGTACATGTCTACATTCATAGTACATGTCTACATTCATAGTACATGTCTACATTCATAGTAGACGTCTACATTCATAGTACATGTCTACATTCATAGTACATGTCTACATTCATAGTAGACGTCTACATTCATAGTAAACGTCTACATTCATAGTAACATGTCTACATTCATAGTACATGTCTACATTCATAGTAGACGTCTACATTCATAGTACATGTCTACATTCATAGTACATGTCTACATTCATAGTAGACGTCTACATTCATAGTAAACGTCTACATTCATAGTACATGTCTACATTCATAGTACATGTCTACATTCATAGTACATGTCTACATTCATAGTACATGTCTACATTCATAGTACATGTCTACATTCATAGTACATGTCTACATTCATAGTACATGTCTACATTCATAGTAGACGTCTACATTCATAGTACATGTCTACATTCATAGTACATGTCTACATTCATAGTAGACGTCTACATTCATAGTAAACGTCTACATTCATAGTAACATGTCTACATTCATAGTAGACGTCTACATTCATAGTAAACGTCTACATTCATAGTAAAATGTCTACATTCATAGTACACGTCTACAATCATTTTAAACGTCTACATTCATAGTAGACGTCTACATTCATAGTAACATGTCTAAATTCATAGTACATGTCTACATTCATAGTAACATGTCTACATTCATAGTAACATGTCTACATTCATAGTAGACTTCTACATTCATAGTAACATGTCTACATTCATAGTAACATGTCTACATTCATAGTAACATGTCTACATTCATAGTAGACTTCTACATTCATAGTAAACGTCTACATTCATAGTAACATGTCTACATTCTTAGTACATGGCTACATTCACAGTAACATGGCTACATTCATAGTAACATGTCTACATTCATAGTACACATCTACATTCATAGTAAACGTCTACATTCATAGTAGACGTCTACATTCATAGTAACATGGCTACATTCATAGTAAAATGTCTACATTCATAGTACACGTCTACATTCATAGTAACATGTCTACATTCATAGTAAAATGTCTACATTCATAGTAACATGTCTACATTCATAGTAACATGTCTACATTCATAGTACACGTCTACATTCATAGTTACATGTCTACATTCATAGTAAAATGTCTACATTCATAGTAACATGTCTACATTCATAGTAACATGTCTGCATTCATAGTAGACGTCTACATTCATAGTTAAATGTCTACATTCATAGTAAACGTCTACATTCATAGTTACATGTCTACATTCATAGTAAAATGTCTACATTCATAGTAACATGTCTACATTCATAGTAACATGTCTACATTCATAGTAGACGTCTACATTCATAGTACATGTCTACATTCATAGTAACATGTCTAAATTCATAGTAAACGTCTACATTCGTAGTACATGTCTACATTCATAGTAACATGTCTACATTCATAGTAACATGTCTACATTCATAGTAACATGTCTACATTCATAGTAACATGTCTACATTCATAGTAATATGTCTACATTCATAGTAACATGTCTACATTCATAGTACACGTCTACTTTCATAGTAACATGTCTACATTCATAATACACGTCTACATTCATAGTAACATGACTACATTCATAATACACATCTACATTCATAGTAACATGGCTACATTCATAATACACGTCTACATTCATAGTAACATGGCTACATTCATAATACACGTCTACATTCATAGTAACATGTCTACATTCATAGTACACGTCTACATTCATAGTAATCGTCTACATTCAAAGTACTCGTCTACCTTCACAGTACACGTCTACATTCATAGTAATCGTCTACATTCAAAGTACTCGTCTACCTTCACAGTACATGCCTACCTTCATAGTAATCGTCTACATTCATAGTACTCGTCTACCTTCAAAGTACTCGTCTACCTTCACAGTACATTCCTACCTTCATAGTACTCGTCTACCTTCACAGTACATTCCTACCTTCATAGTTCTCGTCTACCTTCACAGTACATGTGTACCTTCATAGTGTATGTCTATCTTCATATTGTATGTAGCCCAGGTCTATTTGAGAAGGCCACATTATTGTTGCGCACTTCAGACAAGCATGTGTCCAGCACGTCAATATGTCAGATGGATACACCAGTAAATCATTTTGAAATGCCAAACTCTAATACCTTCAGATGAATATGTTTTCGTTTTAATACATAATTTTACATTATCTACAAATCTTCAAATGTCTCAGGTGACATTTTCTTTCTGTTAGGACACAATAAACTAATTGTATCAACATATATTCCCTATAGTTTCAAAATGACAAGAATACAATATAACGAGAACATACCAACAGATTGCAAAGTTAACTGATTAATGGGTTACCTTTACAGTTCATGATGACAGGCCAAACGGAGCCGCCATGTCTTACAAAATCACCTTCACATGGGAGCACAAAACATTTAAGTGGTATTAAGAATTATCACCTATGTTAATGATATAAAACTGGTGCTCTTAATATCACTCACTTGGTGAAGAAAGGATAGTCACTAACATACTGTAGCACTGAGGGATGTTAAATAAAACTAACTTTTAAATGAATATTATTTAAAGAAAGTTTTGCAACTGCCAAACACAACTATCAATGTTGAATGACATCATTTAACGAAGCACACCTGGGGTAGTGCTTTTAATGTTTCACTGCTCTGAATGGGGTAATGCAGGCAATACCCGAGCACATGGCATCATAACCCGCTTCCTCTGTGTTTCAGCAAATGTGTACTTACCTCTCAGATTCATGGTCCTACTCCTGTCCCTGCTTTGATACAGATGGTCGATACTACTGTTTTAAATGCCTCTACACACCAGCGTGCTTCCCGGAACCATCTTGGAAACCAATCGTTCGTAACTGGGAGACTGGGAGACAGATATAATGAGCAATTACGTAAGTGAGTAAACCAGTCGTAACTCCCACCTTCCGCATGCCACCTAACCTTGTGAGGCAGCAGCACCAATTCGCCAGCTTTATGACAACCACTGAACGTGTAAAAACTAGGGTGTTCTATGATTAGTTAACAGATACCTTTCAATCATTGGAGGCTATGCTGTCATGCTTGCCTGTCATAGCCGCTGCGCCTGAGCATATAGTTGCGGGAGACAGGGTGCCTCTCTGGGAGCCATCCTTTTAGTTCATTACCATCGCCTGAGGGGTGAGAGGAGACGAGAGTGTCATACACGCCCCGGGACAACTGGCTTCACCTCCACACCACACTATGCCATGTAGGAAACGTAAAAATCAACAAACGTGGACAGTTTTTCTCTCAAACGATGACATAGACCAAGCAGGGTAATCCCCGTTTCCGACGCCCTTCGCAGTGCAACTGTCAGTGTGTGGTTCATTCTGTAGCAGAGATTGTGACAACTTTGTAGTTCTAAACACAATCCTAACTTATGTTTCCAATGTGCACGAATTTCACATGGACCAGTATTCAGGAATGCAAGCTATGCTACTTTTCTCCTGTGTTTGTTTACTCATGTGACCTTGTACTCCAACTGTATGACAACAATAATGTGTCTGCGTCGGTGTGTGTGTTCATAACAGGCTGCTTACACAATTGAAGTAATTATCAAACTCAGTTATGTTTGAATAGTGTTTCCAAGCTACAACACCGCACACAATGTTACATATATACAGGGTGGTCCCTTACACAATGTTCAATATACAGTGTAGCTCCTCACACAATGTTACGTATATACAGTGTAGCTCCTCACACAATGTTACATATATACAGTGTGGCCCCTCACACAATGTTACATATATACAGTGTGGCCCCTCACACAATGTTACATATATACAGTGTGGCCCCTCACACAATGTTACATATATACAGTGTGGCCCCTCACACAATGTTACATATATACAGTGTGGCCCCTCACACAATGTTACATATATACAGTGTAGCTCCTCACACAATGTTACATATATACAGTGTAGCCCCTCACACAATGTTACATATATACAGTGTAGCTCCTCACACAATGTTACATATATACAGTGTGGCCCCTCACACAATGTTACATATATACAGTGTAGCTCCTCACACAATGTTACATATATACGGTGTGGCCCCTCACACAATGTTACATATATACAGTGTGGCCCCTCACACAATGTTACATATATACAGTGTGGCCCCTCACACAATGTTACATATATACAGTGCTTGCCCCTCACACAATGTTACATATATACAATGTGGTCCAACATACAATGTTACACTTATACAATGTAGTCCCTCACACAATAATACATATATACAGTGCTTGCCCCTCACACAATGTTACATATATACAATGTGGTCCAACATACAATGTTACACTTATACAATGTAGTCCCTCACACAATAATACATATATACAGTGCTTGCCCCTCACACAATGTTACATATATACAATGTGGTCCAACATACAATGTTACACTTATACAATGTAGTCCCTCACACAATAATACATATATACAATGCTTGTCCCTCACACAGTGTTACATATATACAATGTGGTCCAACATACAATGTTACACTTATACAATGTAGTCCCTCACACAATAGTACATATATACAGTGCTTGCCCCTCACACAATGTTACATATATACAATGTGGTCCAACATACAATGTTACACTTATACAATGTAGTCCCTCACACAATAATACATATATACAATGCTTGTCCCTCACACAGTGTTACATATATACAATGTGGTCCAACATACAATGTTACACTTATACAATGTAGTCCCTCACACAATAATACATATATACAATGCTTGTCCCTCACACAATGTTACATATATACAATGTGGTCCAACATACAATGTTACACTTATACAATGTAGTCCCTCACACAATAGTACATATATACAATGCTTGTCCCTCACACAGTGTTACATATATACAATGTGGTCCAACATACAATGTTACACTTATACAATGTAGTCCCTCACACAATAATACATATATACAATGCTTGTCCCTCACACAGTGTTACATATATACAATGTGGTCCAACATACAATGTTACACTTATACAATGTAGTCCCTCACACAATAGTACATATATACAGTGCTTGCCCCTCACACAATGTTACACTTATACAATGTAGTCCCTCACACAATAATACATATATACAGTGCTTGCCCCTCACACAATGTTACACTTATACAATGTAGTTCCTCACACAATAATACATATATACAGTGCCTGCCCCTCACACAATGTTACACTTATACAATGTGATCCAACATACAATGTTACACTCATACAATGTAGCCCCTCACACAATTTGTAATCAAAAGGTTGCATGGGTCTAGTAGATATACATCAGGTGTTTTTTTAAATTCCTAATAGAGTAGCAAATAGGCAGTATGATATATTTCCAAATATCATAATCATTGTCGTCAGTTTAGTCAGGAACATCTGCACCGAGAAACTATGAAAGCACATCGTCTTCGTCAAGCATAGACACACCTCTGTGAGCTGTAGATTGTGTAAGTGTCATCAGTCTTACATAAATTTTAACTGACCATGCACGAAATAAAGGATTTAAAAGGTCCACCATAACATCATATCTCAGTATATGAAAAACCGTCAAACACACTTATTTATCTGCCAATTAATTATCACTGCCTTTTCGTGTATTTGCCATATGCTAATGGTTGTCGAGTTCGTGTTCTATATGGTAACTGTATATGCTGGTACAAATGTTCATTACATTATTTCTTAACGACGTGTTTCCTTGTTCCGGGATTTCGTGTGTGACAATCCTGAAACATGTTGCTTACTTCAGCTTCTCGCAGCTCCATTTATCACAGACCAAACAGCGCAAGTAATGAATGGAAAGGCTGTAAAAATTCGTTGTATTTTTTTTTTGACGGCAAAGTTGTATAACACTATTTTTTTCATTAAAGTGTCATTTGTGACATTAGTTATATCATAATGGAGATGTGAAAATATTGTTACATTGTTCTACATTACCTGTTAAACCTCTAACAATAATAACAAATATAACAAGTACATTTGTTTGGCTACAAATTACTTTCTCAAGTGGAATCTCAAAGCGCTACAGAGTTAATCAAACAGGCATGTTATATAGAACACAATCCGTGTTGGGCCGTTGTATTTAGGGAACAGGTGTGTCTTCAATCCACTCTTGAAATATGTAAGGGTCATGGCAATAAGATGGAATGGAGAACTGAGACTCGGAGAAATGAGACTCTATCGTGACTTAGCTGAGAAGGTGTGAGTTAGCAAACAGTTTTAGATTACAAGACGTGAGTTAGCCAGCAGTTTTATATTAGGAGGCGATAGTTTGCAGACAATTTTAGATTTGAAGGCGTGAGTTAGCAGGCAGTTTTACTTTGAGAGGGTGAGTTAGCAGACAGTTTTACTTTGAGAGGGTGAGTTAGCAGACAGTTTTACTTTGAGAGGGTGGGTAAACAGGCAGTTTTACTTTGAGAGGCTGAGTTAACAGGCAGTTTCAGATTAGAAGAAGAGAGTAAGCACGCATTTTGAGATGACAAGGTGATAGTTTGCAGATAATTTTAGATAGATGTCATAAGTTTGAATCAGTTTAAGATTAGAAGGTGTGAGTTGACTGGCAGCTTTAAATTAGGAGGTGACAGTTTGCAGACAATATTAGATAGATGTCAGGAGTTTGCGGGTAGTTTAAGATTAGATGTAACGAGTTTGTATGCAGTTTTAGATCAGAAGGTGTGACTGTGGGAAAAAGCAGGCCGTTTTAGATTAGAAGACGTGAGTTAGCAGGACGTCTTACATAAGAAGGTGTGGGTTAGCTGGCAGTTTTAAATTAGGAGGCGATGAATTACAGGCGGTTTTAGATTAGATGCCATGAGTTTGTAGACAGTTTTAGCTGAGAAGGCGATAGTTTGCAAACACTTTTAGATTAGATGCCATGAGTTTGTAGACAGTTTTAGCTGAGAAGGCGATAGTTTGCAAAGAGTTTTAGATTCGATGCCATGAGTTTGTAGACAGTTTTAGCTGAGAAGGCGATAGTTTGCAAAGAGTTTTAGATTAGATGCCATGAGTTTGTAGACAGTTTTAGCTTAGAAGGCGATAGTTCGCAAAGAGTTTTAGATTAGATGCCATGAGTTTGTAATCAGTTTTAGCTGAGAAGGCGATAGTTTGCAAACACTTTTAGATTAGATGCCATGAGTTTGTAGACAGTTTTAGCTGAGAAGGCGATAGTTTGCAAACAGTTTAAGATTAGATGCCATGAGTTTGTAGACAGTTTTAGCTGAGAAGGCGAAAGTTTGAAAGCAGTTTTAGATTAGATGCCATGACTTTGTAGACAGTTTTAGCTGAGAAGGGGATAGTTTGCAAACAGTTTTAGATTAGATGCTATGAGTTTGTAGACAGTTTTAGCTGAGAAGGCGATAGTTTGCAAACAGTTTTAGATTAGATGCCATGAGTTTGTAGACAGTTTTAGCTGAGAAGGCGATAGTTTGCAAACACTTTTAGATTAGATGCCATGAGTTTGTAGACAGTTTTAGCTGAGAAGGCGATAGTTTGCAAAGAGTTTTAGATTAGATGCCATGAGTTTGTAGACAGTTTTAGCTGAGAAGGCGATAGTTTGAAAGCAGTTTTAGATTAGATGCCATGAGTTTGTAGACAGTTTTCGCAAAGAAGGCGATAGTTTGCAAAGAGTTTTAGATTAGATGCCATGAGTTTGTAGACAGTTTTAGCTGAGAAGGCGATAGTTTGCAAACAGTTTTAGATTCGATGCCATGAGTTTGTAGACAGTTTTAGCTGAGAAGGCGATAGTTTGCAAAGAGTTTTAGATTAGATGCCACGAGTTTGTAGACAGTTTTAGCTGAGAAGGCGATAGTTTGCAAACACTTTTAGATTAGATGCCATGAGTTTGTAGACAGTTTTAGCTTAGAAGGCGATAGTTTGCAAACAGTTTTAGATTAGATGCCATGTGTTTGTAGACA